AATGTATTCATTGGAGCTAACTAACCAAAACGTGTTATAATTAGAAAAGAAGAAAATTATGCGGTAATTCATTATTAAACTCCCCGTGGGTAATTTTCTGTGCAAGAGCTTTTCACTTCAATTTTCAGTCAAAAAATGACCAAATCCGAAACTGTACTCCGTCTAACTAAAGTCTCCCTTGTTTCACTTGGAACATTGATATGGTTTCTGGCGTTACTTTTTTTGACAATAATACATTTTTTTAACGTTATACAAGTCTTTGCTATGCTACATATTGACCTGATTTTCAATATATAAAACAAGCAAGCTAATAATAAGCAGACTTAAAAAATCCAAAAATATAGGTAAAGACAGAGCAATACTTTTCAAAGCAAAGTGCAGTACGAGCGCAACTTATAGGAGCCTTGAGTCAACAGATGCATCCTGTCTATTGAAAATGTTCAACTTTCCGTACGACAATGTTTAGCAACATGTGAGTAACCCGTATTCTCGGCACTCACGGCAGCTTTACAATAGTTACGTTCTGTCTTGGCTCGCTTAAAAAACTGTTAAGAGATGTCAAAATCTTGGGAGGACTTGCTGACTTTGACCTTGTTTAGCAAAAAGAGGCGAAGGAACTTCACTGTGGTAATTAATGGAAAATTATGTTTCCTGGATAAAATATGTTTTCGCGTCAGTGTTCTGCACACCTATTGACAGAGGAGAACTCTTGCAGCTGTTCTGATCATCTTAGTGAAAGCTTCTGCACTTTTTTACCCTTGCAAAAGTGCAAAACACGCAAGAAAAACTCTGAGTGAAACAAAATAAACAATGACATATCAGTAACAAGACTGCCTATGAAGAATTAGCCCTATTAGTGCGGTTTTCCAAATAAAGCGATGGATCGTCTAATTCTTATCCATTGCCGGCTTGCTTCAAGGATTGGCTGCTTTCACTTGTCTGCATTTTTATTTCCATTACTCTTCCTTGAAGGTGAAATTTAGACCCATTATTAAATAACTTTTAAAAAACATTAAAAAGGGCTTTATTTATTACTAATGGTCAGCAGTTCTTTCCCCCTTCTCAAGTTTCTTACCCTCAAAATTTGAATCAAAGCAAAAGCAGACGTTATCCCATTTTGTGTCCCGAAATTCCAAAGTTTGGATCCCGCTGGAACTTTGTTTAGGCGGACGGAAAAATTTATTTATTCGTTCATTTGCTTATTAATTAATTTATTTATTTGTCGTGCACATAAAGTGCGGCAGAACAGGGAAAAAAATCAAAGAAATTATCAGAAACAGTGTTTTTTACACGTTAAACAGAATATCATACCGTCTGCAGGATTCGGCATACTGTAGGGGCGTAGGTGGACGGAATTAGATATGAATCAAAAATTAGCTGAAAAGTGTAGTAGGGTAAGGTCATACGTAGGATTAGGTAGATGGACGGCAGAGGGTCGAGACGATTTTGTGAGAGCAGCTTAATGCGCTTATTAACTCTGCGTTCGCAATTATAGATCTCACAGCAGGGTGTTACGTAAAGTCACAGCAAGTAGATGGTAGGCAGTCATTATCATAGTTTGCTTGAAAAGTGATCTAGTGGCGTTTGGTGAGGGCACTACATCTCTAGCTGTAACAAGGTCAAATACCCTAGTTAGAGAGTTAGGCTGAAGCAGGAAAATTGTTGTCCTATGTTTTTTTTTAATGGGTTTGAAATAATAATGTCTTTTGAACCATTCTGCTGTAGAATTACAGTATGATGTTATGAAGCAAGTAAGTGATATTTGTGATGCGTAATAAGCAACCCTCTTAGCTGGAGTTTCAGACAAATCCGTAATGCCAAACTCCTTGCGAAGCTATCGGCGAGGCGGTCGAGTGGCGATTTTTACCGGCTGTTACTATATATACATGTTAATAACAAAGTAAAGAGCTATTTTCGCTTTTGGACTTTCCAAAAAAAAAAAAAGAAAAAAGTTCCAATAATATATCGACTAGATGATAGTATATGGG